ATTGATTTTGTATTTTTTTCGGATTCAAAATTTCGAAAAATATTTTTAGCTTGGGGGCCTGATATATATATATGGCATTAACTATATTATAAAAACGAGAAAAAAAATAGAGTTGACCTTGTCAACTCTGTGATACCCGTACGAATTTGTTATCCTATGTGCAAATAAAGATGCCATAACTGACTAAGGGACACATTAATTTATGCAAAATTTCAATACTGTCTGTTTTTCAAAATACTGTGTGTGCCAAACTACTATTTAAGTTGTATGGCAGCTACCAGAAAAAGCTAAGAAATTTTAACAAATTTTATCAAAAACATTGGCCCTAGTAATATATTCGCTTGTGTGAAATTTCAATACCATAGCTTTTATAGTTTCTGAGATATAGCCAAATAACTTTTGAAGTTGTACGGCAGGTACCAGAAGGAGCCAAGTAATTTCAACGACTTTTATCATACACATTGGCCCTACTAGTGTATTCGTTTGTGTGAAATTTCAATACCATAGCTTATATAGTTTTTGAGATATAGCCAAATAACTTTTGAAGTTGTATGGCAGGTACCAGAAGGAGCCAAGTAATTTCAACGACTTTCATGAAACACATTGGCCCTACTAATATATTCATTTGTGTGAAATTTCAATACCACAGCTTTTACAGTTTCTGAGATATAGCCAAATAACTTTTGAAGTTGTATGGCAGGTACCAGAAGGAGCCAAGTAATTTCAACGACTTTTATCATACACATTGGCCCTACTAATATATTCGTTTGTGTGAAATTTCAATACCACAACTTTTATAGTTTCTGAGATATAGCCAAATAAATTTTGAAGTTGTATGGCAGCTACCCGAACCGGTACCCCGATCATGCCCAATTTAAATAGGGTTCTGGCACTTACTACAATAAATCATTTGTGAAAATTTGGTGAACTTAGCTCAATTAGTTTTTCAGTTATCGTGGGGACGGACGGACAGACAAAGCTAAATCAACTCAGAATTTGACGCTGATCAAAAACATACACTTGAGTCTATATGTAAGACCGTTATTTCTTAGCGTTACAAACGGTAAGGCAAATTTAGTATACCCTTCGAACATACGTTCGTACGGGTATAAATAGTATATAAAATATTCTTTTTCTTAATTTATAATATGTAATATAGATAATATAATAATTTTATATAGATATATAAAATTATTATATTTTATATATAATTTTATATATATATAATATAATAATTTCTAATATGTAATAATAAAATTATTTCAAATTCGTTATTAAAACTATCATAAAATTTAAAAAAAGTTTCGTTAAATTAATCTTATGCCAACATGATTACATTTATTTAAAAATTAAAGAATTAACATTGACAAAATTTTTTCCACTCTTTAACTTATATGACTTTATATGAACTTTTGAGTTATTGCAATTTGTTAAAATTATCATCAAACTTGACACTTTTCTTTTTTTTTGTAATTTTTTTTTTTTTTAAACATTTGGACGTTTTTTCAATAAAACGTCCAAACGTTTACAGAGACCAAAATTAAAAGTCAACTACCGGACGATTTGCAACCTAAAAACAAAATTTTGACGTTTAAGAGTTTTAGGCATTTATGATTCCCTGAATTTAATAAATAACAAAAAAAAATCACAAAATAATGGAATGTTATATAATTTTAACTTTTTATTGAAACAAAGAAAAAAAAAGTTATCGCTAGTGGAAACATTGTTTAAAAATAATTTTTATTATATTTAATTTATGTATATAGATTTCTTTTTGCTAAAACCTAAAAATATTAATTGATTGTATATAACTTAAAATGATTAATGGCTTCTTGTTATTAATGTACTTTATTTTTATAATTTTTGATTTCATATTTATTGTATATTGTCAATTTTAAGACATTGAATTTCATATACATATATTAAACTATTTTATTCAATAAAAAAACAAATAAACTTAAAGTTTGTAAATAAGTATGGTACCAAAGTTCACCATATTAATGTATATCTTATATTTATTTCTATTTATATTTTTTAAACATAAGTGAATACTTTTTAGTTTGATTTAGTATTTATTCCAACAATCCGTGACTTCAATAATGCGCTTAAGACGTAAAATTTTACAAAGCATCAAATTCCAAAAAGTTTACTAAAAGCTCTTGACATTGTACACTTTTCCAAAATGCGTTTTATACGTAATGGAGACGTAAAATAAAAGTAAATCGGGTATCGAAAAAATCGAGCACGCTTTTCTTATACCTTGTCATATAAATGTTACCAGAAATAATCGATAAAATAAACTATCATATATTTTCAGCAATAAAGCGCTAGCTATCAAGTTTTTTCCAAAATAAAGCATAAGAATGCTATTTTTCCAGTGGTGTGGTAACGTTTGTTAGTTATACAAAATTTAGTGTCATTTGTCATATTTCAAATTCATAAACAAAAAAGTTTTTTGAAAACATTCACGTATATGTTATTTTTAAAATTTGAAAAAAAAATGGCAAAAGAGCAGTAAGTTATACCTTAATTCATTAAATGTAATATTGATTTAACATTTAATTTTTGCAGTAATAAGAAATGGACCGTGGATAGGAAAAAATTATTGATTACAGTGAGGCTGAAATACGAAAGTGAATTCGTATCAAAACGTTTTAAAAAATCTACGTTATGGAACAAAATATATAATGAGATCCTTGAAATAGAACCTGATTTCCCATTCACTTCAATTGAATTATTTACAACAATATTTGCGAACACATTAATTTTTTTTAAATTAAAATTTGCACAGAACTTTAAATTGAAATTTTCAAACAAATGTCAAAGTTGTATTGATATGGTAAAAATTGTATTCCAAAATGTATCAAAAGCTTTAGTAGTTTTTTTTACAATGTAAAAGTATTGAAAGCTCTGAGACGGTACTAATACCGTATTAATACCGTACTTAAATCTTTTTTAAAGCATTATTGAAGTCACGGAATTTATTTTATGTTATTTTTTCATAGTTCATGTTTTGATATTAATGCACGTAATTGTACAACTGTTTTATTTCATTTATGTATGTACATATAAAAACAACGCCTTTACTCCGAAAAGTGCAACAATTTGAAAATGTGTGCAACCATAGATAAATCATATATTCCTTATATAGCTCAAAAATAAAACCATAAAAATATTTAATATTAATTATTTAATATAAACATATACATAGTCGATAATGGGAAATGTACTGTTTTAATCTTAAGGAAATGTTGCGTTTTTAAAATTGCAAGTGCTTGTTTTAAATTTGCAAGTTAACCTGTTTAAAAATTATGCACAAGTCAGTTAAATTTTATGTGTTATTAAAAGTTATACTATTTCTGTTCCCACTTTCTTATTTATTAAGAATAATATTTAATATGCATTATATCGTTTTTAAGTTCAAATATTGTATTTTTAATGAAACTTTTTTCTATTTTAAGCTGTAAAACGCAAAAACTACATGAAGTCATTTGTGAGCTTCTAATAAATTATTTAAAATATTTTTTCAAGTTATAATGATTAAAACTGAAATGGGGATATTATAATGTAATGATGAGTAGTAGATTTTGGGTTTTATTAAAATAAGAAAATTAAACTCGTATATACTTGTGTACTTTAAAAGCTGATCTTTTAGAATGAAACTGCGACCAGAATATGTTTATAATTTATATTTAAATTTTGTTTATAATTTTATTACGTTCTGATTTTATGATAAGTGAACGAATCTACCATTACGAAATATATATGCCAAAGATTACAATGTATGCTTCCTGAAATGATCAATTGGAATATTTTCCTATATAAAAATAGAAAATTGATTTAATATTGAAATAATATCGAAATAATATTAAATAAAATATTCAAGTATATTTCCCTTACAGTCAAATATATATTTGATTTTTTAACATTAGTCATGTATAGTTAAACAGAAAATGGTTTGCGAAACTTTTAAAAATTAGTAAATTGTATCAGTGAAATTTTTTTATATAAAAGATTATTTAGTATAATTAGGAACGAATTTAATATTTAGAAAAGTGAATAATGAACGTAATGTGTAGTTGTTATGGGTTTTTAACTGCATTAAGTTATTACTAATCTTAATAATTATGTACTTATTCTATTTTTTATAGTTACCTTATCGTAAGATGCAAATAAAATTTTTTTTAGCTTTTGTTTTCCGATTCCATTAAAAAAGTTATTTAATAAATTAAATTCAAATTTGTGACTTAATATTTATCTTAAAAAAAAAAGTATTGAAAATATTTTGAAATGAATGCGGAAGGAAAAAAAATTTAATTAGTTTTACTTGATAACTTTAACTTTAAAAGTTATACTTTTGATATCAAAGTTCCGTTATTCCTATTTTTTTCTTCTTGGTTCAATGATAATTTTCATTACTTTAATAGTTTACTAATCAGTTGTTTAATAATCAGTAGATAAACTTTGCAAGGTTGACTTTACGCTACACAATATGAAAGAAAAACCAAAAAAGGTCTTTGCATAATTAAACATTTAGCAAATACTTTAGCATTAACCGGACTTTATTTAGAGAAATAATTTTGATAACTATTTATTTTGAATATTAAAAAAAAAATCATGTTAACAGATTACTTCTTTCGATTTAACATAAAAAGTATTAAAGTAATTTTTGTTTTTATATTCATTCTTACATAATATGTATACTTTGTTATTTTGAATAATTTTATTAAATTAATATTAAATTAATAAAAAAAACATGTAATGAAACATAAAAAATAAATCGATACACATTTTTACTATATTAATGCAGTTTACTTAAAAAAAGTTTAGTTAGAAAGGTGAAATTTTTGAAGCTTCATAAACTTCTCATAAATGATAAGAGGAAATTTTCAAGTTTTCTTTTCTTTTTTCACCGAATAAGAAGTAAAATTTGATACTATTTAATAATTTTACAAAAAACTTCATAAAGAAAATTCAGAAGTGAATTAAAAATATTTCAATTTGAATTCATAATAAATTCAATATTATTTCAAAGATATGGTTTATTAAATTGACCAATATAAATATATACATTTTTGTTACATTTAGTTGAATTTGAGCTTTTATTTTCAAAGCCTTTAACATTTTAGTTTATCCTCAAAACTCAAATGAAAGTTACAACAAAAGCAAAATTAAACTATAAAAAATTAGATGTTTTAAAATTATTAATTTAGTTTTCGTTTGTTTAAATCAACATATTTTTCTTATGAATTCTATATAACATTAGGGATTTTTGCTTGCTTGAATGTATTCTCCACATTTACATGTTTTCAAATTGATCTACACGGCGCTTTGTGTTTCCTTTTCTAATTTCACGCAATGTTTTATATTTATCACGGCCTTGGCGAACATTTTCCCGATGTATTTTGTCATTGACAGTTTCTTTTGTTTCATCCCTAGATTGTGCCAAATCTTGTTTTAATGCCTAAAAATGGAAAAGATACATTATTTTTTTTTATATTTTTTGCAAATTATAAAAAACAACTGTTAATAAATTCTTAATAAACTGAACACTGAAAAAGATCATAAGGAAACAAACCGAGTAAACAATGACAGTTAAATACAACTTATGTTTAATATGCTCAACATGTATACACTTGTTCTACGTCCTACATTTTGAATATTATGAAATTGACTTTTAGGCCCGAACCGAATGAAATTTTTGACAAATATGAATTTTTGGTATTATGGTTAGCGATCTCGCTTAAATTTTGGCGAATCAGCTGTTAAATCTGTCGAATGAAAATTCTGTCTGATAAGCTGGGCGAATGAAAAATCAAATTAATATATAAATGTGTTTTTTATTGGATATTTTAGCGTAAAACGAACCAAAAACAATTCGAGCATTTAAATAAATTAATAGACAACAATCTCATTGCTAAAGGGTAGAAAAATTCAATTATTTTTGCAAAAAAACAAATGTGGTGTAATATGTGGTGTTAACCTTATTCTTTTTTGTTAGGTTTGCAGACGTCTTGCGGTAGCAGCATTTTGGGTCATAATTTAAAATATCGTTCGATTCGCCTAGTCCGTTCGATTCGCCTAGCCATTCGCTTCGCCGAATATAGTAATGGTATTAGTTTTTAAATTACTTTGGATCGACTATTTTGAAAGTTTTTGAAAGACAGAGAAATAAAACAAAACAGATTTATATTAACAACTTTAACTTATTATATTAATTTATAAATTGTTAATATTTATCTATTTTAATAATTTAATTTTTTTTTCTTTTGAAGCGATTTTTATACATATTTATTATTGCTACACAGAAAATAATGTATTAATACTGAAATAAAGTAAAAAATCTTTCTTTTTTTTCGAAAAATTAAACTTTCAGAAGGAAATTTCAATTTTTATTTATTATTAATTAATATTTATTCAAAATCTTTTTGCTAATTTTTAAACTATGTATTAGTCGGTGTTGACAAAAATATGTATTGGGATCGATAGGTCATGGACAAGATACATCTAGGGTTTTCTATAAGAACATGATAACTATATTTTTGGCAGGAAAATGTTATGAATTCAGTATTACTTAAAATTCTCTTCCTCATTTACATTAAAACATTAAAGTTATTTTTTATTCGTTCGGGATATTTAACACAACGGATTATATTAAATTATAATCTTAGAATAAATAATTTAATCTTTGTTAATTATCCCGAGAGCCCGTATTTCTCTTTTCGAATATTATTATAATGTATTGGCTCCATTAAATTGCGTAATTTTATTAGACTAAAGGACAATATAAATATTTTTTCTAAAAAATTGAGAAATTTTCTTTTGAACTTGATCTATTTAAAATCGAATCTTTCGCTAATATTATGCAATAGTTCATAGGTTTGGCTAAATTTTTAAGTTTTTATAATTTCCCCTAAAACAATTTTTTTGATATGATTTATTTTGTTAAATATTATCAAAGAAAATAGTTATAATTTGCAATGTAATAATTTTAAATAGTTAGATAAAATAAGGTATCTTTGCTGCTTAATTATAGCCAACTGAAATCAATGTATCTTGTAAATGTAGGAGTTTTTAATTTTTTTTTTTTTGGTTTTTAACCCCACAACTAATTGTAAATAATGATTTTAATGCATTATATTTCGTTCGTCACTTGACGTTTAGATCAATAGAACAAACTTTTTACTTATTTTATTATTTTTGTTTTCCTTTTGAATACTGAAATTTGTATTGCTATAATTAACTTATACTTTTTACTATTTTTCATATATGTGTACTTTTTCTTTTTTGAATTTTAATCTTAGATTGCAAGGATATTTAAAAATGCTTTTTGATGCAAAAAAAAGTTTTTTCAGTAGTTTAGAAAAAAATTCTTGAAAACCATTATATGTATATCATGTTCTTCCTGATAAGACAATATTGTACATATGAAAGAATACCATCTGGAAACTTCTCAGGAGAGCAAAATCAACTGTTTATTTTTATTAGCTTTTAGTTTGTAAAAGCAATTAAAACAATTTAAAATAGGAATAAATACCAGAAACTTGTTTTTTGATAATTAGAGCTTAAAAGCTTTGTTCCGGCGTGGATGTTTCATTGTATTTGAGAATTTTTATTACAGTAACATTTGCATACATTTTCGACTTTGAAGGTCTACCATATTCAGTAGTAGAATTCTAAATCTATTCAGCAAATTTATTGTGTGTTTTCCATAATATAATGGACTTTTTTGAATCGAATTATTAACGAAGATTTTATTCAATAAAAATCGAGCTCCATTATGGTGAAACCTACAGTTACCTTCAATTGATCGTGAAGTCTTTCATTTCTTTCGGCTAATGTACGCCTGTCCTCTATAGGATCCTTAATGCCTTCATCAGTATCCAGATCCCGTGATACATCACCATTGCCTTCACCATTAAGTAGCTCATTTTCTTCATTTTCGTCTTCGGCAACATGATGATGTTGAGGTGTTGTTGAAACGGCTAGCAAAGCTGCTGCTGCTTCGCTCTGCAAAATTTTCAATTTTTTATCATTTATCAAAAGACTAAACTTCTAAAATTAAAAGCGTGAACCATAAAAAATAAACCAGTTTTCCCATTTTATATAATTTTGAATAAATAATTGTAATATAAAGCTAAAATTGATGATAAAAAAAAAACTTAAATAAAAATATATTGTTAATTAAATAAGGAATATTGATTACCTGTTTACGACGAGCTTCCTCAACTTCGGCTTGTAATCGTTTTGTTTCATCATCCTTAGCATTAACTTCTTCTTGAATGCGTTGAACCTCTTCCTGTTTAGCACGAATTTCATCTTCTAATTTAGCTTTTTCGGCTACCTCCATGTTCTTGGCTTCTTCAAGACGATTTAGCATGGCCTGTAATTCCTTTTGACGCATTTCAAGCTCATCTTTAGATTGTTGTAATTGTTTTAACTGATCTTCTAAACGACGAATCATATCTTGAGCTTCCAACAAATCTCGCTGGGATTTTTCCATGTCTTCCTGCATCTGCTTTAAACGATCTTCATACTCCTGCTGTTTTTTTTCGGCACGCTCTCTGGCTGCTAATGCAATTTGAAGTTTTTCCCTAAACAATGAAATGTTATAGAATTGATCATTCTAATTTGCATAAACGACTGAATACAATTTGAAATTTCATGTATGTATATCGAAAACTTCTGAAGAAGAATAAATCTTAATGTAGCTTTAAAAATTCAAGCTTTTTAATAGCTCAAGTATTAATCTTTAAAACCTTGAAGAAAAAGAACACATCTCTTATTATCAACGTGTGTAACACTTTGTTATCATTTTCACAAGCTTGGAACAAAAAATTACATTTTTATTACAAAAAGTTGAGTTTGCTATTTTTGAGTGACCATATGAACTCAAGGCTCTTACTCACGATTTTGATATTGTATGTTATTTTGAAATTTATTTTTAATAATTTAGAACCAAAAGTATTGATTATTAGTATGTAAGTATGCAAATTCAGCATATCAACAGCAAAAATACGTTGAAATTCAAGTAGTGTTAATATTATTATGTATGTATCAAAAATTATGTGTTAATATAAAGGTACAGTTTTAAATGCATACATTATTTTAATTTTACTATGTCGTTCCAGCCGTCTGTGCATCTGTTTATAAAATTTCAAAAGCCAATAGATAATAAGTGAAAATTTAATATAATAATGGACATTTGCGAATAGCTGATTTTTTTAGCATCAAAATCTTGCAATTTATTCTCCACTACCATCTTGAAAAAGCATAGAAATTTAAAAAAAAAAAGCTTTTTTTTGATGAGCTATAGTTTTGAAAATATAAACAGTTTTTGAATTCATAATAGGAAAAAAACGATCCTCTTCCACCGTAAAATGACAGAGGTTAACATCATTTCCTAAACCCGTTTTTTACATTTTACCTTTCTCAAAACCATTACAAACCCGTGTTACATTTTACCTTTCTTGTTGCTTTGCATTTTTCTCTTCTCTGGCTTGCGCTTTCATTTGTTGTACATCTATTGTATCTGGCTTACGCCTTCGCATGTATAATTCATGGTTTCCCATGCATAACGCTAATATCCTTTTATTAATTCTAACACGTGGAGCAAAAAATATAAAGTCTGGAGCTTTTTTATCAATTGGTTTAATTATAAATTTGCGATCAGAAAATGATATATTACGAATTTCAGACCATGGAAAACCAATTTTCGGTGTTAATTTATCGTCTCGTTCATATATGTTTAGGCCCAATGCATCAACACCCAACCACAACTCTGTGCCTTTCTTATTGCGTATTTCAAAATAATTAACTCCATACATTTCCAAATCTTGAGCAATCTTTAAATACTCCATCATTGCGTCTTCGCGTAACATTCCACGGTGTTCCTGCCACCATGTTACGATGGATTGTTCCCATTCTTCTTTCGACATTTTATGTTGATCAATAACACGTTGTGGCAATAGACGATCATTTGCAAGAAATCCAGGGCTATGAGTTGTTTTTATATAATCCCCATGACGTGCCTGAACTGCGTAAGATGCTAATAATACGGATGTTTCTGGTGGACAATATATTTCATCAGATAAAATGGCATTCTTAACTTGCAAGTAAAACAAACGTAGTGTAATATCTTGAATTAACTCTTCGGCTACATCTTCAGGATAAAATTTTGCACGGAATTTAAATTGCAAGGGGTTTTCTTTTTTAACATCCTGATTCATAACCTAAACAAAAACAATTTTTTTTTCAAATTAATCAATAATAATTATTAGATATGTATGTACAAAAGTAAATATTTTATGTATTGTTTTTTATTAAATTAGAATTTTGTTTCTTTGATAAGGCTATATATCATAAGTTACCCATATTGAAAACGGCATTGATCCTGTCTGAATGTTTAGTACATTCAGAAAGTGAAAGCATTTAATAGAAAAAACATATATATATAAGCTCTATACATACAAAAATATAATCGACGCTATGAAATAATTAATAATTTTTTTTTCATAGAAAAAGGATTCTATGTATTTCCTCGAAAAAGCAAGACTCACCATATCTTCAAAATCACTATCAGATTGCTCTTCTTCACAAGTTTCGAAGGATTTTTCTTTTTGCTTTTTATCAACATATTTTTTGAGCTTTTTGACTTTTTTAACAACTCTTAAGAAATTATTTTCGGGCTAAAGAAATTTTGAAGTAATTAATTAAATGTCAGTTCTTTTCTACATATATGAATGTATTTCTTTAAAATTTTTTAGTTTTAAAAATCAACTTTAAATTGTCTTTAGTGATAACAAGAAAAGTTTGAAAAGAAAACTACTTATGACGAATTAGGAAAAGGAACAGATTTGATTTTATATTGTTTGAATATGCACAATTTTATATTGGAAAATAGCAATACCAAATTAAAAACTGTTATTTAAAAAATAAATAATACGCATAAATAATTATTTAAGAAATTTAATATACCAGCAATAATAATTGGTATCGAATAAATATAATATATGTATATATAACATAGCATAATGCTAGAAAAATTAAAAATTGTAAATAGCCTAGAATGGTATAAATTCGTTTAGGTGCAATACGATAATATAAAATTATGCGAAGAAATTTAAAAATCTTACTTTTTTATAAAGCTTAATCCAGGTTAAATCACCTTTGGAATCTGTATATTGTAATCCAAAAAACCAAACTTCTCTCAGGCCAATTGTTTTGACGACTTGATCAAATAATTGTTTACCTGTTGTAGTTTGCTGAATTGCGAATTCCAATTCAGCATCCATTGTTGTAACACGTACATTCAGCTGAAAAGATTTTACATTGTTTTATTTTTATATTTTTTTCAAATAATCATACATAATATTGTGTTTATTTTTTAATGCAAAATTTTTGATTTGGTTTAAATTCTGTTATTTTAAAAGTAAAAAGTTATACTGCGTGTTCTGATTCAAAACAGGAAATTTTTGGTTTTTGTAGGATGTATTTAAAGATAGAAAGGATAAACTGTGTATATATGTGTGTGTACATAAAAGAAAAGATGTACTTGAGAACATTTTAATTCTGTTGTCTTTCTTTTCCAGTTTTTGGACTTTAAGGTTGTATGTATACATATTACTTCCTAAAGATATTTGTTTTATATTTTGTTATTTTTTTGAAAATAAAGGAGGTAGGGTCGACCTATTCACATTGTTATTAAACTACTCATAATTTATTTTACACAATTTTTTACTTTTCGAAATTTCAAATGTAAAATACAATTTTTAAAAATTTTTGTTTGGAAATATGATCACCAATTGTATAAGATTTTGCTACGCTTCCATTCATGTATTGAAAACCTAGCAGTTATATCTGAGAGATAGTTATAATCTGTTACTTAACTGTCATTTAAAAACTGATAATTTATGTTTAACATCTTATTCTCATAGTAGAAGTGGATTTGCATGACAAGACAGTAACAAATCTAGTCTAATATTATAAACAGTGTTAGATTATTTATTTTAAATTAAAATTTTTCATTTTAAAATAAATTAAATTATGCGAAAATTGTCAAAACGTGTTCGACAAAAAATATGGTTATTTTTTGTGACATTGACAATTATTTTTTATTGACATTTTGCATAGACATATGTATGTATTTCAAGAAAATAATCGAAAATACATTTTTTAACATTCCTTAAAATGAGTAATTTTGTTTTTTAAAAGATTCGGTGCTCCACTGTACTTAAAATAAAATAAGCGGTAACACTATTTAATTCACGTGTTGAAGTACATATCTACATAGAATACGATATCAATATTTTTGTTATTTCGAGCAATAAGCGATAGAATTTTTTTTGCGTTATTTTTGTTTTGTTATGACATTAGCTACTGAAAGTTTACTAAAAATGGTTTGAAAAGTTACATCCAAAAATGTAACTACTATATATTACAGTATTAAAATGTTAACATATTTTTGTATAAAAAATAAGATATATGCTTTTTACCGACCGTATTGTGTAAACAATAGGTAGGTTATGTGATGGCAACAAATTTTGCATATCGAGTTTTCGGTGGGAACGTACTTCTCCATAGTAGGGAAGTGTAAATAAACTATTTTTAGCAACCTGTCGGTCTGTCCGTCTGTCGGTCTGTGTGTGCACGCGTGTATCTCAAGTTCGGCTGAACCGATTTTGATGAAATTTTATATGTAAGTTTGTTTCCACCATGGCACGGATCGATCAACTTTTGGTATATATCAGGCCTCGGGAACTGCACTTTTTAGCGGGCCTGTTTTACATTTTTGAACATTTTGAAGAAAATATTCAACCAATTTACTTGAAATTTTATATATAAGCTCAGCTCGACCGTCCGCAAAAATTCGTATGTTTTGGAAGAAATCAAATTAAACGGACCAAATATACATTTTTGTGTATATAAAGAGAAATAATCAACCGATTTCATTGAAATTTAATATATGAACTCCTCGTATTAAAACAATGAACATATAAACTTTTTGGAAAGATCAGGGCTCGAAAACGGATTTGCGGGCCGATTTTACATTTTTCACCATTTTGAAGAAAGTATTCAATCGATGTACTTGAAATTTCATATATAAGCTTTGCTCGATCATACGCAAAAATTCCTAACTTTTGGAAAAAATCAGGCTTCAGCAACTGGGCTTTTACTACGGGCCAAATATACATTTTTGTGTATATAAAGAGAAATAATAAACCGATTTCATTGAAATTTAATATATGAATTCCCGTATTAAAACAATGAACATGTAAATTTTTTGGAAAGATCAGGCATCGGCAACTATAGACGTTTACTACGGGCCAAACATACACTTTTGTGTATATAAAGAGAAATAATCAACCGATTTCATTGAAATTTAATATATGAATTCCTCATATTAAAGCAATGAACATATAACTTTTTTGGAAAGATCAGCGCTCGAGAACTGATTTGCGGGCCGATTTTACATTTTTCACCATATCCACAGAAAAAATTGATGGAATTTCTTGAAATTTGATATTTGAGTTCTGGTTGTTACCGAAACTAACTAGCGAGCATTTCAGGGAATTCGGGTAGCACAAAGCGAAACTCTACTAAGAGCCAAATTTACATTTTTCTAAGTATGTTAACTATAAGCTTACTAATGTCCTAAAAACTGGAAAGAAGTATTTAACAGACATTTTTATAATATTCTGTAACACTTTCATTTAACTAGACAATACACAATGCGGTCGGTTATCTGACCACATCAGATTTTTTTAATTTCGGTGTCAGAAAACTGAATAAGTTCTCTTATCTAGTTTTGAACGAATTAAAACACTCATTTCACTTATATGAATATAACCAATATGAAAAATTGAATATAAAATTTACTGTAATTTAATACCTGCAGATGTTTTATCTTCATGACATGACATATCTTTATTGCTAGAAAATTTGCCTTCTTAAAAAATTTTATGATCTCGAGAAATGAAAACTATTAATATCTCATTTTGACAGAAAATTTTTTGGAGCAATTGGTTAGTTATAATAGTTTTTAAGGGTTTTTTTTTATATAAATTACTGTAAAAATAAATATAATTTTTTTCTTGCATCAGAAAGTGCTTAAAATTCCAAGTAATACTGCATTTATAATTTTTTTTTTGCTAAAAAATAGTTGTCACGTTCTGCGTGAGCAAAGCTTATATATGAAATTTCAAGTAAATCGGTTGAACACTTTCTTCAAAATATTCAAAAATGTAAAACAGGCCCGCTAAAAAGTGCAGTTCCCGAGGCCTGAAATATCCCAAAAGTTGATCAATCCGTGCCATGGTCGAAATAAACTTACATATAAAATTTCATCAAAATCGGTTCAGCAGAACTTGAGATACACGCGTGCACACACAGACCGACAGACCGACGGACCGACAGGTTGGCAAAAATAGTTTACTTACACCTTCCTACTATGGAGAAGTGCATTCTCACCAAAAACTCGATATGCAAAATTTGTTGCCATCACATAACCTACCTATAGTTTACACAATACAGTCGGTAAAAAGTAATAGGGTAAAATGCCCAGCAATAAATTCTCCACCAGTACTGAACTCTTATGATTATTGAAACAGCTGTAATTAAGCATTTTGTTATAATGTTCTCTGAAATTTTCATTTTTATTAAAAAGAATTTTTCCTTTGAATTTTGATATGTATAATACATTAAAACATTGACTCAGTTTGTATTTGTAATTGGAAGTATTTAGCAGTTGCTTTTGTGCGATTAAGATTTTTCCAATTTTAAAGTGTATTTGGTAAAAACGGTGAATTATTAAAATTAATTTAATTGTTAATTCATTATATTGTAGCGAAGGTAAGTATTTTATTATTTCATAGTAAATAATGTATATTTGTAAAATTAAAAAGGTTAAATATTTATTTAATATAAATTACTTAATTATTAGGAAGCTCCTTATTGGTTAGAAAGATGGTAAATTTCAATAATAAACCGGATACAAATTGTTACAGGAATGTTAAAAATATTAGAATATCCAGTATCGAGCCATTGTTCATATCGAGAAATTGAATTATATTTTTTAAAATAAAAATTTTGGTGTTTTTTATTTATGTACTGATAAGAATAAAGCACTTATTATTATTATTAATTATGTTATCAACGATCAATCATTTAAATTCGTGTTTTCTATTGATTAATATTGGAATTTTTTTTTTTTGAACAATATAATATTATTTATTTTGATTTTTTAAATAGAATTTATGTCCCATATTTCGATAAATACTGTTGTGGTCATCTTCACGGTTTAGTTTAGAAATTTTTAAGAAAGATTTAAAATTTTGTTTCCTAAAAATCTTTAACTAAACCCGAAGATGACCATAGCAGTAATGATCGAAATATATGACATGCAATCTATTTAAAAAATTAAAATCAATAATATATTGGTCAAGAACATAAAAACCATTTTATTATTATCCATAAATAACATACACAACTTATATTCAATCTCTAACAGACATTAAAAGTTTCGCTTAAGTTTATAAGATAACTAGTCTATTTTTTTTATCAATGTATTGAACACATTACTTATGAAAAAAGAGGAACAAGTTTGCTTTGTCAAAATAGATTTATCATGTTAAGTGTGCGATTGCAATAAAAAAATCGCTGAAATCAAAAAATAAAGACTTCATCATGTAGTAAGTAAGTAAAACTTTTAGTTTTGTTAATAAATTTCCAAAAAATTACATAAAAAAATATATTAATTATGTTTTAACCCTTTTGCACACACAAAAAGAAACCTAGAGAATAGGATACCCGAGGCACCCGGGTAACTCATACATTTTGCATTATAATTTACATTATTTTAATATCAATTAAAAATTAAATCTAACGGGAAATCTCATTTTATTATTCTCAATCAGCTTAAATTTCTCCGATTTGATAATGCAAATACCAGAGTAAGTTCTTTACTGAATGATAAAACTGCAGATATTTCAGATTTGTTTATTATGTTAAAAGCAAATTAATATGCAAATTACATTTCATTTGATTGCATTACAATTGATGAGTAGCTTTTTCCGTTTAGAGGACGTACCAGATTTACGTAGTATATATCCTCAAAACCTGCAATAAATTATTATTACAGCGAATTAATTCACCATCAAATTCTCAGATCAAATTTGTGAGGGATTCTACTGTTCGTATACCAGTTGTGGGAAATTATATTGCTTGTTTTAACACACCAAACAAAACAAAGCGCAAAGCAAAAAAAATCTTGCTGAGATTGTAATGTTCCATCATGCGATGAATAATCGCTTACTAT